TAAATATAGTTAAATACTGATAAAAAAGACAACCATGTTTTTACAGTCTTCTACCTTATGATATAAAAATATGAACAATTAAAAACATTTTCTTGATATCACCTATATCCTCATTTTCAAAATCGATCATCAATAATTTTAACAAAAAATACAAACTTGTATTATGCTGTTTGGATTCATACATTACAAGACGATAAAAGCATTCCAACATTCCGAAATAGATACCAATAATATTTTGATGTTTGGATTTATACATTACAAGACGATGAAAGCATTCCAACATTCCGAAAGAGATATCAATAATTTAAAACATGCGCAACAAACTCAGACGAAAGTATATCATGTTGCACTTCAATCGAATAAAATGAAAGTTTTTCATTGTCTCCTGTGCCCATATAGTTCAGGCCGCTGGCCCCAAAGCATTTGCCCTCTTCCGAGGCCGTTTGGATTATTTAATGTAAGTCTTTTTTTATATCTATCTAACATAGAGGAATCCCAGTTGTTTATCATCTGAAAAGTGACTATGTAATAAAATAAAAACAAAAATGTATTTTAGATATCCCTAAAATGTCCTACTATTACGAACGAATTTCATAACTTTAAGTAAAACATTTCAGTACGATATATGATAGATTGATAGATATGTGGTCAGATATTCCAAAAAAGGACAAACATGGAGAATATTTATTAAAGATACTTAGTCGAAGTTAAGCTAGTTTTCTTGTATATGTTATTCTCAGTTTTTCGACACATATAGAAATGTTAGCAACGCTTGCATAACAATGACATAGTAATTTCTCGTAGCTTGGAAGAATACCCATTTCGTTAACATAGACATTAAATTAAAGACACAATTATTGATATTAATGTCTCTTCAAAGTAGAACAACTTCTGTTTAGGCGTACTTTTTACATGTTTACGTTTTACAAATAAAACAGTTGTTATAACTAAACATACACATGGAACAATTCATTTTGTACATATAATTTCGTTACAGTTCATAACTAATCGCAATCTTAATTGTTTATTTTAATATACTGAATGTCATTTTAAATTAAAAAAGAATTACTTAAAGATTTTTAGTTTAATTAATCCGAAATTAAAAAAAAATTGTTTCAATTGCCAGAATAATAAAAGGGCATATTAATGTTGAAGAATGGAACACTGTAAGATGTATGTTTTCCTAAATGAACCTGTCGTGTTTCGTTAAAAGAACTCAATTTCTAACACCAGCATCTACGCAGTCGGCAGGCAATTATAAACACACTTAATAATCAAGTGTTGTAAGATAATACAGGTATATTAGACTCTTATCAAACATCATAAACTGAAGGTACGGATTTATTTGGTGTGGTTTTCGATATTTTCATGTACATGAGTTAATTAAAAGGATCAATATTTTTGAACAAAATTTATAACTCACCACGTTTCTTATGTAAACTAATCTCTTATGTTCTTATGTAAAAATCTGTTCACTGGAAAATATAATGATTTCTAAACGCTCTGGAAATCGTATGGTGAAACATAACATCTGAGCAATTTAACCCAAAAGTTGAAAAACTTTCGTAAACATTTTATTTTTGAATTATCCTTTACATTTTATTTTATAATGACAAGAGCTATCCTTTTCATTTAATTTTAGAGCTATCCTTAAAAGTTCATTTTAGAATGGCAAGAGTTATCCTTTACATTCATTTTAGAATGCCTATGAGATTCCCAGATTTCAGTTTGTTATTTTAAAAGGACCAATGAAAATTCAATTCTATTCTAATTTCCTAACCTGCTTTGAGACGGCCTTCCGAAAAAACTTAAATAGTGTTATTTTTTATTTGCTAAAACAAAATATAGCAGGAAAAAGAAAATAACAACGAACAAACATTTAAACAAACACGTTAGAGAAGACTGCTAAAAAAATAACATTGGTAGACCGATTACTAAAAATACTTGACAGGGATTTTCAGTCTTCGAAACATCATCCGCGATTCCTTTAGAGCTTGATAACCTTGAAATGGACGGTAAAAGTGCGTCGTCGTATAGCGTTGAGGTGCAGTCCCTGGAACGTCGTACTTTCCGTTCAGATTTTGTTGTGCACACGAGCGGTGATACCACCATGCCCCATGATATTCTTCAGCACAATTTGTGACTTCAGATTGATCCTGATCATTATCAAATGTTGAAAAGGCAGCTCCATACTGTTCATACAATGAATTGTCTTTTCCCAGAAATGAATACAGATCTGAAATATAGATACTACAACCCTTGAAAAATAATAAAACATTTACATCTAATCATACATAGAAAGTTTAGAACTTTTTGAACTACCCTAGCCATTTTAACGCGCATAAATACAACACAGAATTGAATAAAAATCAAAAACATTGGTCACAAAATAACAAATCAAAGCAGAAAAGTATAAACAATTTTTCTAAAAAAGTTCAATAGTTTCTAAACTACCGACTGATCCGTTTCCGCGGTTAAGGTAAAGTGTATAATATGGACGCTCTTCTAAGTAGAAGTTTTTGTAGACATCGTATACTTTTGTCCCATCACCAGCAGTGAGATCAAGTCTTAGTTCTGCAAAGATTAGTTTTGCAAAGATTGCAACGAGTACTTCACTGTCATTAATTCCCTTAGTTAATGTTATGATGTCCACTGGTCGAGATAGATGTTGTCGAGTAAATAAATTAAAAGAATTTTTTGCCTTAGTTTTCTCAGATTACAAAAACAAATAAAAATATATCTGAAGGTCTTTCTTAGTGCTCTGAATTTTCTTTTCCCAGAAATGAATACAGAACTGAAATATACATATTACAACCCTTGAAAAATAATAAAACATTTACATCTAATCATACATAGAATGTTTAGAACTTTTTGAACTACCTTTGCCATTTTAAAGCGCATAAATACAACACAAAACTGAATTAAAATAATAAAACATTGGTCACAAAATAACAAATCAAACTGCAGAAAATTATAAACTTATTAAATTTCTGATTTTAAATTGCCTTTATAGATTTTGATGAAACAAATGTGTTTAATTAAGAGTTTTGTTAAAACTTATGTAAAGTTTTTGTCATACCTTTTGCCATTATTGTTTAATGTGTCATTGCATTCCTGTGTCAAAGATGTCATTTCCTGGACATACTTTAGACCTGTAAAATAATGAATATTTTTTCTGTGTTCTCTTTAAGATTTGTACCTTTGGAAATAACAACTGATAAAGTACAATTTGATATCTGATAATATATGACAGTAAGTACTCGTTTTGTTTTGATATAATAACATAATATAAATATATTAATTTTCAAGCAACTAAGACAATAGCGTTTTATCATATTTAGTCATGATTTTATTTTGCTTCAAAGGAACAAATTCTCTTACGGATACCACCCTCATAAAACTTAGTGTTAATCTTTTAAATCGGCATAAAATAGTTCAAATAAAATGTCGACGTGTAAATTTTCATATGTGCTTCTTCTTAAAAGAAAAAATAACCCCTATATGAGTTCATATTTATTCCAATACTGTTATTACGATGTTTTAAAATTATATTTAACATACATGTACTTTATAAGCACTGTCCACATACCTAACCAAAATTCATCATCCAAATCACCAAACCCATACTCATAGTCATTGAAGTTTCGATAAAAATCAACAGAACCTCTGAATCTGTTCTGAAAAACCTAGAAAGTTTTTAAACTTATTAAATTTCTGATTTTAAATTTCCTTTATAGATTTTGATGAAACAAATGTGTTTAATTAAGTGTTTTGTTAAAACTTATGTAAAGTTTTTGTCATACCTTTTGCCATTATTGTTTAATGAACGCAAGTTTTTTCCACACACAGAAAATATGACAGTTCTCGATTCTGAGCATGAATCAAGCCAGATTCATGTAATAGATTTTAAGTTTGTCCTCCGATCTTTAGTCTGACATTCCCTCCTTCCTGGCATTTTTTTAACAACACATTAACAGAGTACTAAGAAAAACCTTCAGATATAGTTTTAGAAATCTGAGGAAACTAAGGCAAAAAAAGTCTTTTAATAAATTTACTCGACAACATTTATCTCGACCTGTGGGCGATCATAACCTTAACTAAGGAAATTCTTGACAATGAAGTATACGTTGCAAACTATAGACAATGGAACGTCGTATTTAAAAGATAAGAATGTGTAACATTCGTCAAGAATAACACCTTGAACATGCCGGATAAGACAAGGGCTAATAATAAGTTTATAATCACTACGCCTACCGGTAAGTATTTATTAATATATTTCCTTCTATACCTTCTCGGTATGGGTTTATTATATCTTTAAAATAAACGATCAGGGCTTGGTTGGATATGAGGCTCAAAGGTTCTGAAAGTGAATAAACTTGTAGACCTTTTGACACTGCGATAGTTTTATTTAAGCGGAATAAGCAGTCCGCGTGTATGGCAGAACAATCAATAACGAAAGGAAACAATTTGATATAATCTTAATGATTAACCAACGATTTATGATATTCAATTTTGAAAGATAATCGATGAAATGGTTAATCTAAGTAATTAACTTAAACATTTCTCCATCAACACATTAATTGGAGTCTTTAATTCATATTTGAAAGATCCTGAATGATGCATTCGATTCTGGCAAAAGAATCTAAGAATGATCTATTACATTTAAGTGTGCTAAATGCATCATTTGGATATTTCGTCCTTAAATGTACTCGTTAAAGGTGCCATTATTTCTAGTGTCATAATCGAAGTAATGAACTCCTAAATTCTTATTTTTAAAGTCTTAAATTTCATTAGACGACTTTTTCATCAGTTATTCAAATTGAAGCAACAGGGCGGTTAACAATAAACTTTATTATCCGTGCATCAATCCTGGCCAGATAGCTATTTAGCTCTTTTGCTTTGTGTCTATGACTACATTTTTATGTCGGGCGATGATCTTTTGCCCTACGCAGATTGTGTATGCGCGAGAAAACACTAAGTCTGGTCGATTTTTCATAGCAACTGACCTCGTCGTAAAAAAAGATCTGTTTACGACAAACCCGTGCGAGATCATGCTTTTCAGAAATGAAATTGTTGTCACTAAAACATTAATTTGAAGCTATGCAAGATGACTTTCTGTTAAAATATGAAAGGTTTAAGACCACTATTTAATAATATTTAGCTTTGCTCAGTAATAATTTCTTAACCATCACATCAAGTAAATGATGTATTTCATTTCCTTGTATTCCCATGTGGAGTAAAATCCAACATAATTTGACTGACTTTGAAACAAATCGTTTTAAAAACATCATGGAATTGCAACAGAAGTGTCTTATCATATTATTATCTTCTTTTCGGCTTTTAATGGATAATTAAACGGAGACTGAATCTGAAAATATCATACCGTTTAATATGACTTGAAAGACTTTTATTAACCTCTGAACATTTGTAAGCCAACTAATTTAATACCTTCTTGAATATTTTTAAGAATATAAAATGGGTGTGGTTTAAATGTTTCTTCACTTCTAAACGAATGCCCTAATTGCTTTAATGCATGTGGGTTTTTTTAACGTGTCGTCATAAAATGGTTTAAACAAAGATTTTTCTAGCCAAAAGGTTTTCCTGAAAAATTAAAACTGATTAAAACCGTCTTGTAATGTAAAGACAATTAATTATCATGCTTCCTAAAATTACCATAATATTATCTTAATATAAGCGATGTAAGAATAAAATCTTTTTTCGGTGATAATAACAGCTGGTGTTAATTTTACACTTACAGTCCAACCACCGCCGTCGGTTTCCATGTCACGGTACACTTTTAGTTTTGTTTGTGATTTTTGTAGTGTTATGTCGTATATCCCGCTTCTTGGTGAGGGCATGAATAACATTATATCTTTGCAGTCAGCTGCAGTATATCAAATAAAAGAAGGGAAAAATAGTTACGAATATTCATACATCTAACAGTTGAAATTATATTTTTATCTAATAACATTTTACCATTTTTCATATTATTTGGTGCGTTTACTCAACACAAACTTGTCATTAAATACTATCCCTTTGAAATACTAAATATCATTGTTGCACGCTAACCTTTACATAATTATCATAATGCTAACATTCATTAGAATAACGTTCGAATGTCATTTAAAAAAGTGAGTTAAAATACACCAAAACAACACATATTTTTTTAAAATCTTTACTAGTTTCGACTGTTGTCTTCATCAGAATCAATAATAAAAAAAAGTGAAAAAAGTGAAAAGTTTGCTTTGAATGTTTAAAATAACCAAAAAGAGTTTTTGTATATCTTTATATATTGGGATAAAGAACAGTAAATACTTTAAGATAATGTGTCTCAAAAACTAAAATCTATTACAAAAGAAATTAAAAAAATTGAGTATAGTATCAATGTAAAGTATCATAATAAAATGCCTGTCAATTTCAAATTTGGCTGCAGACCATACATTTTTTAAATTGTTGTTGCGTCATTTTATATTCAAGGTATTTGCAAAAGAGTCGTTTTTTTATATTTAGTCGAGGCCAAGGAATGTCACGATTTTAAAGTACATAGGCATAATATCATATGATTCAGCTCGGGTATAAATCTAGTTGTTTCATATCGAACTTTGGAAAAAGACTGTTTCAAGATAATTTCTTTTTTTACCAGGCAATAGATTAACATATATGTTATAACACAACATGCAATACACGTGTGGCTCCAATTTAGCTGCAAAATTCTGACATGTTGATATTAACAAAAACACGTAAACGAATAATAATGGTGACTGTGAATTTACTTTATTTTTTTATTTGTTTTTGTTTCATGCCGATGCAATATTTCTGTGATCAAATATTTTGTCTATGAACTTTATTTATAACTCTTGCTATGATAGTGTGCTTCATTCTCAAGGTGGTAAAAGATGAATTAATAACCTTAATTAAAGCTTTCCATGAACATTTATATAATTACATGTAGTTGAAATACGTTAAAAGTGAAGATATACGTAGTTATTTTGAAGCTGAATATACAGAAAACAATTAATAAGACCTTACTATATATTGTGTCGTCGAAATCGAATGCAAGGGAACCAGGGTATGCCATAAGATTCACATCACAGCTTCCGAGACTGACACTGCATCCAATACATTTATGGTCATCGGGATGGTAAAACACACTGCGACATTCAGTGCTCAGAAAACAAACCTTGCTGCACTGTACAGCCTCGGAAAAATCATGAATTTCAAAGATCGTTTCATTTGGAAGGCATCTGCTGCCTGCATACCCAGCACTGTATTTACTTTTTTGAAAGTGAATGCTGTATGTTTCTTTGATTACAACACATAACATCCAGAGATAGAAACATCCGTTAATAAATCTCCTTTCTTCCTTCTTCATGGTGTTTGTCTCACGGAACAACAACTGGATATGACGCAATTTACCTCACGTTTAGGTTCTATATACTAGTAGTTGAAAGCTTCTTAAATATTATGAAACAATGCCGTACTGACAAAATACTAAATAATTCTGTGTGTTCATTGTTAAAATTTCTTTTACAAACAAATATATATCATTTGCACATAGGATATTTGTTTGGCATGAAACTTTGTTTTATCGATTGAACTTTAAGCTGCATGTTATAAATTTAAAAAAAAAAAAATAGAAATTTCGTTAATAAAATGGGTTCCTAATAAGCCCACGATTTCATTTTGGTGTCTAGATGACCAAAATGAGTGTAAATATCTGCCATTTCCTTTAGATGAAATTGAATGTACAATTTCTATTCAAACACATGAACAGAAAATAAACAAGCATGGCTTAAAGTGAGAGTGAAGACTCAATCAAAGCCAGTCTGCAATTCTCATGTAATATTGCTGTGATAAATGCTTCCAAAGGATCATCCTTCTTCCTCTAATAAAACGGTATATCTTAGTATTATGTTAAGGATGTCTTTAAACCAATTTCATCTTCCTTTATCCGTTTATCGCTCTTCAGTTAACTTTAGGCTTAGTGCACATTTTAGCTTTAACGAATAAGTTTGTTTGCACGCCCAGATAACAGTTATTGCTTCTGAAAGTTTATAAAAGTATATGCTTGTGCATAAACTAATTGAGCCGCGTCACGACAAAACCAACAAAGTGCGTTTGCGACCAGCATGGATCCAGACCAGCCTGCGCATCCGCGCATTCTGATCAGGATCCATGCTGTTCGCTTACAAACCCTATATAACAAGTAGAGAAACTGCATGGATCCTGACCAGACTGCGCTGATGCGCAGGCTGGTCTTGATCCATACTAGTCGCAAACCCATTATGTTGGTTTTGTCATGACGTGGCTCAATTATAATCTTTATTATCAATTAAAGCTTGTATAATACGAACTTTATAGTGTTATCGTTGGGTTTCTCTTTAAAGGCACACTAGGCCTAAAAGTCGAATTAAAGAAAGGGAAAATACGAGTTTTATAATATTTGAATATTTGTTAGAGAGCATATTAGATGCTTATTACCTGAGTTGTGAAAATATTTTGTCATAAAAGTAGTAAAATGATAACACAGTTGTATTTTGACTTCCATACAAGATACTAAAACATGATAACTGTACCTTTTGCAAAATAGCAACTAAAAAGAAAAGATGGTTAAGTTAATTGGCCAATTAGTAACATTTTGGAAACTAAAAATGTTAACCCAAAACACGTCTTTAGAAATGATAATAAAAGCATTATTGGGCATAAAGGGCCTTTATATCATTTTTTATTATTTAAGTTTACAATGATACAGTTTAAATGAGATTGAGGGTTAAATGAGATCGGTCGTCTATGTGTAGATTTTCCGTAAGTATTTTAAATTTTGATAAAATAAGTAGAAAATACCATTGCGATTTTCTTATAAGAAATTTCTTGCAGAAGATTGTGACAGAACTGTAATTGTTTTGTTTTGAACATTTATTTGTATCTGTAATATTTTATTCAAAAAAATTTCATAATCTGCCATATTAGGATATGTCATATAGGATTCATGTATCACACACTAATTGTATTATCAAATAAATACATAATTCTTCAGTGGTTTGGTATGATGTAGAATTTTAAGTGAACGAATTGGTAACTTTGGTCAAGGTTCAGGTTACCTAAATTTGTCATATTTTTTCTGTTATATATTTGCATTTTTGCATATTTTTCTTTCGTATTTTCGCTTTTCTATTGCGACGTGTTGGTAATTTGTTTATAGAACATTTGAAAAATCGGGTATACATTTGTATGTTTGCAATTTTGCATTATAATTAGGTAATTATGTATTGCACGGATGAAGACCAGAAATGAACAGGTCAATACTTGCGAATTGGCAAGATTTGAAAATTTTACTCAAAACTACCAGATTTTAAGCAAGGGGTGATGAAAATGGCCTATGAATCAGTTTTTGACATATAATACAAGATGTCAGGCATGCTTAATCATTAAAGTTTAATTTAGTACATAAACCTCACTTTTTACAGATAAAAAGTAACATTTTTGAGGCGTGTTTTGTAATATATGCAAATATTTTCCGACGAACTCCGCGACAGTTATCATAAGAACTCCATCCTTAGTGTAACAGTTCCTCCCTCCTGTAATAATAAATGATTAAAACACTGAACCGTCAGAAATTATAGGCATTTCTTGAATGCTAAAACATTCACAACAGCTTTTGAATCGAGTTGGCTTTCACTCAGTTGCAGGGCATGTGTGTCAAAAGTTAAAAAACAAACAAAAGAAGGTATTCAGAAGTACGTTTAAAGTATTTACTATTTATCCTATGATCATCTCCAACCTTAAATATACTGGCGAAACGTCATTGTGGAATATGTTCAGTCGCATTCACAGGAGAAGAAACAATGCAGCGCCATATGGAGAGTGAAAAACACAAACAAAAAGAAAATAGACGTCAATTTTTCAGTTAATATATAAACTAACACAATCGAATATTTCTCTTATCTAGACCTTTTTACGGCGCGGTCCGTTGCTATGAAAAATCAACCGGATGTAGAAATGTCTCGCGATTATGCGTAGGGCAAAAAAAGCATGGCCCTACACAGAAATGTAGTAAAAACTTCAGAAACATTTCCGAGGAGTTAAAGGTAAAAAGTATAAAACGATGTAAAAGAAATATTTTCACAAATACACAAAAGATGCCTTTATAGCTTTGTGGTCAAGGTTGCCATACAACGACATGGAAAAGATGATCTTCAGAATACCCCCTTGCGATCACGGACTTAACATTGAGATTAATATGGAAATATATCTATTAGCAAGAAAAAAGATCAACTTAATTGTTTTTAAGAAGTTCATATAAAAACTCAAGAGATTTATACAACATATGAAATCGAGGCTAATTATCATTCTACACGTGATAATGAATGTTTATGAACATGATTGTATTTTGTTTTCAGTTTACCTGATTTTATATTCTTTATCAGATTTGACTGGGATGCCAAACAGAAAATCAAGAAAGTCAAATAATTTTACAAAATTTTCAGAAGGTAAGAACATTTTCTAGAGTGTAGTAAAACAACACACATTTTATCAAGTTTATCGCAAGACATGTAAATGCACATCACACAATTTGTTAGATTACAAAATTAATTCCAGACATTGATGGGATGGGTATGCGATGGATGTTCAAATATGAATGCAACTGGGTCAATTTTCAGAAGTGCTTAGCAAATAGTGCCAAAATAATTATCACAATCCTTCAAAGTACTCACCACCATGTGATCTACAAAGTTTTAGTCTTTAATACATTTTAAGTGCGTTTTTATAATGCTTTCGAGGTATACTGTACAGACACTTGAAAATAACCGAACCGAGAGTGATACTTTCTTCCAGCAAGGTATTTTTTGAGCCTCGGAGATAGGAAAAAGTTACAAGGGGCAAGATCTGACGAACAATGAGGGTGAGGAAGCTCGACAACCTTTACCTGTTTCAGATTTTCTCGTACAATTACCGCTTTGAGTGACGAAGCATTGCCATGCAACAACCTGACACCACGGAGACCAGTTGCTGGTCGACGGATTTTGAAATATTTCTTTAATTTATGTAGGGCCTTACATTTGAAGAACTTTAGATTTACTGATTTACCCTTCGGTACGGCAATTTGAATAGCAGGACCTTGATTGGTAAAGAAAATTACATACATGACCTTTTTGACGCTCATGGTGCGTTTTGCTTTGCAAGGTCTTTAGCGTCCTATGGTTGCACATATTTTGTTATGTATCTTTCGCGTGGGCTCATTAAAGTGAACCTGCGTCTCATAGCCAGTGATGATATTTTCGAAAGATCGATTGTTTTTCAACAATTGTTTGGAGAGTCTTACCCGAGCAAGTTTTTGCTCTGTTGTAAGGAGACGGGGTATCCATCTGGCACTGATCCTTCTCATTTTTAAATCACTTCTGAAAATTGTATGAGCGGCTCCTACAGAGATACCAACGCATTAAGCTATATATATATCTAGTTGTAAATCTTGTACATCTTTTACTGAATCCACACCAGTTTTAAAATTCTTACATCACCGTGTGACAGATGAAAAAAAGTTCATTGTTCCCATAAACACGACATATTTCATTAAATATGTCTTTCGCCTGTATACCAAGAAAACAGCGGTTCTTGATATAGGACCGTATTTGGTCAGTAAAAGAAGACCTTTTCCAAACCATTTTAGTTTAAGTACAAACGAGTAGATGGCGTAAATCAAGCTATTGTCAAAGCTAGACTAAACTGATTTACACATTAAAACCATACACGCGCTGCGCTTGTCTTGCTCACAACGAGGTTATGGTGCTCACAACGAGGATTAAAGCAAAAAAGGGTATATCTTCGTTTCTACGAAGACTTTCAGATAATAATTTACGCTGAAGACTTGTGGGCATCTGTTTTAGGTTGGAATGCACAAAACGTCACCAGAATCGACGTTTTCAATGTTAAATTAGGTCCAAAGAGAAGTTGTCTCCAGTTTTTCAAAGCTACCCCGAGTGACTGCCCGTCCGCACGATATTTCCATTCAAATGTCCACCAACAGGCAATATCTTTACATGTGCATACTCGGAAAAAAACACATCGCTAGCTAACTGCATTCCGATATTTTTACATAAATGTCTGTAATCTTCAAAAATTATGAAAAACTCACCTTGTTTATCGTGTCACACGTCAAAGATGGGTGCTCACAACGAGGAACGGAAGTTGCTCACAACATTTTTACCGATGGACATTTTTCACTCGTTGTGAGTTAAACGGGCGTGAATATATTATCAAAACAAGTTAATTACCACATATGTGACAGGGTCGTGCCCTTAGTCGTGTCTGTAGTGTTACAACCACGTGCCAGCTGTAATCCTTTGATAGCTTCCTCACATCAGATAAATGCATATTAAACAAAACCCGTTTTAAAATTTATCACATTTATTTTCATAAATTAGTTAGTAAAA